GCTCTGGAAGCCAGGAAGCTAATAGGCAAGACAGAGCAGTGCTGAAATTTAAGTCAAGTAAAAGGAAATTTTATATAATGTGTGCTGAATCCCTCTCAAACAGTATTAAAAATAAATATTCTATCAATGTTAATTGAATATCTGAAAATCATTTTGATTGCCTATTTTCAGGCTTAAAGAACTACTAATATCAAACAAATTTTGTGAATTAAACACATTTATAAAAAATCAATTTTTGACATTAAAATTGGTCATATTTTATGAATATAATACATAATTATATATTAAAATTAAAATATGGTTTTAAGGTTTATACCAATAAAAAAACAAAAAACCAACTACCATCAAGTTGATTCTGACTCATAACGACCCTATAAGACAGAGTAGAATTGCCCCCAGGTTTTAGAAGATGGTAAATCTTTACAGAAGCTGACTGCCTTATCTGTCACTCATGGAGCAGCTGGTAGATTTGAACTGCTGATCTTTTGATTAGCAGCACAATGTTTTAACCACAGTACCACTAGAGCTCCTTTAAGTTTTATAAAAACAAACTAAAAAACTTCCAACCTTCTGGTTAGCAGTCAAAGGGCTTAGTCATTGCGACACCAGAGCTGGCGGTCCTAACCCACCAGTCCCTCCTGGAAGAAAGATTGGGCAATCTACTTCTATAGTGATAACGCCTCAAAAACCCAAGGAGGGGTTGCTGTGAGTCGAATTGACTAGACAGCAGTGAGTTTGGAGTTTTGTTTGTATGGTAAGTTTTTAAAATTGGTTAATTGATACAATTTTTTATCTCTATTTCTGTAGCAAATCCACTAATCTTGTTTTAACAAAAGTATTTTTGCTCCTAAATAAAAGGCATTTGCAGGAAATTCTACCAGCCCAACTTTCAAAAATTGAGTGAAAGAAAAAAAAAAATAATCATTTGCATTTTCAAAGATAAAATATGCATTTATATTTAATAGAAAGCAGTTTAAAATTGTCTCATTCATTTAAAAACAAACATTTTTATGAGAATGATATTTAGATATATATTCAATGTCATTTCAATGTTTCTCTTTAGAGTTCTTTCAAATTTTTCAGACTTACGTACAAGAAAAAAAAAAAAAAACCCTCACTGCAGACTAGTGATTCGATTCATAGTGACCCCTTCTTGGGTTTCCGAGGCCATATCTCTATGGAAGTAGATTGCCCCATCTTCCTTTCTAGGAGTGGCTGAACCGCTAGCCTTTTGGTTAGCAGCCAAATGCCTTAGGCACTACGTCACCAGAGCTTGGAACAATGTTCATATTTTATAGATGTGGGAAAATTACTTTTCAGCATTCTAAGTGGTATTTGAGGAAAATTGATTGTTTTATTTCTAATGTGTACATTACAACTTACTTCCTATCCAGAAGTATATTTATTTTTACTTGGTAAATTATCCTTCCCATCAAAATAATATTCTTGTTTTAGTCAAATTTTATTACTCCCTTATGAGTAGTTAGATACATTGTGTTTGTTTTACAGCAAAGGTGCAAATTGTTCACAGTCCATAAGGTCTAAGTTTTGCATTTATAAGCAATATCCATTTTACTGCAGAATTTGGAGGAGGACTTTTTGTCACGTTCTACTGACATTGCAATAAGAAATAGGTTACTGGATAATTTTCCCTATTATCTGGAAAACAGAAACCTATTAACTGACATATTTTCCCAAAATAGTGTAAACAACTTGTTTGCATAAGCCTCTCATTTATTTTCCTATTGATAAATTTAAATACACAAAACAACATAGCATTTAAATATTTTTTTGAATCTTTGCTTAAATATCTTTAATTATTCTATTCTCAGCTCCTTCACATTTTTGTTTATTTCCCTCAAGAGAAGTTTTTTCTTTATTCATTAACTTTGACATTTGTACATAATTAAACCAAAAAAATTCAAACTCACTATTGTGCATTTGGTCCCAACTTACAGTGACCTCTCCTTGGACTTCCCAGGCAGTATCTCTACAGAAGTAGATTGTCCAGTCTCCCTTCCAAGGAGTGGCTCATGGGTTTGAACTGACAGTTTTATGGTTAGCAGTCAAATGCCTTAGGCACTACACCACCAGAGCTCCAATTATTTACAGTAATTATGTCAGATATTATATACAAAGATTTTTGAAAGAATAAATAGTTGTGTATATTTTAACTAAAATTCTCAAATCAGTATGTTGACCTTTCAGAGAAGTTAAGGTAAAAATACTGGAATTTTAAAGGCATTAATAAATAAATGCTTCTGTTTGCAAAATCTTACAAAGTAATTAAATCAACATGATTTACCACGGTTTTCTGAATGTATGATATCTGTTTCTGCCAAAACTACTTTTCCATGTGTGGAATTGCTGTTGCACTAAGAACATCTTATGTAAAGAAGTAAATGGTAACTTATGGAAACACTTATTTTTCATGCTATGTCACAAGGTGACCATTTGATAATGTATGATTTTTAGCTTTTCACTACTAAGGATGTTATGATAGATTGAAATAACCCAGAAAAAAATCCCAAAAGATCTACTTTGAAACATATATATATACATATAAATACAACTAAAGAATTGCTTATAAGCCTATGACTTAAAAATTAAACTAACTACCTGTAGTAATTCTGTGACACATTATCTGATGTATTCAAGAAAATTTTATATACTGATTGCACATAAGTCACCAAAAATATTTTCTTTTCCATTAAGTTTCCAAATATTTATTGCCAAATTTAATTATTTGATGTTTATTCATCTCATTAAGAAATATCATAGCTTATTTATTTTGTTTCTTTTTCCTTAAATATAGTGTTTTTGAGTGAGTCCATGTGTGTTTTAAACCTGTAAATCTAACCAATTCTTCTTGATCATACAATATGGAAGTACTGTTGTTGTCATTAGATCATCATCAATCTAGGCAAAACTTGAGAAAACATGTTTCAAAGGCCTAATGCTTCTGGATATACAAATCTGGACATAGTCTATTTTGCCAAGTTTTTTCTTTCCTCTTAAAGTATCATGTCCATAAATGTTCACAGTACTCCAAGTGAGTTCTGATCAGTGCAAACTCAGAATTAGATCTAACCACTGTAATAGTCTAATTGGCTTTAGATTGCCTCTATGTTTTATGCCTAAGGCACTTGACTGCTAACCAGAAGGCTGGCGGTTCAAACCCACCAGCCACTCCTCGGAAGGAAGGTTGGGCAATCCTACTTCCCTAGTGATACTGCCTCGGAAACCCAAGGAGGGGTCGCTATGAGTCGAGGCTGATTCGATGTCACATAACAACAACAACAACGTTTTATAGGAGCCATGCCATACGTTTTTTCATATAAAGCTGTACATCACTTAAAAACACTAATTTTCAAATGTATTGTTTATAGTGAGGTTTTTCTACACTTATATAACTTATTTCAAACCTAAGGTTGGGCAATCCTACTTCCGTAGTGATACTGCCTCGGAAACCCAAGGAGGGGTCGCTACGAGTCAGGGGGTGACTCGATGGCAAATAACAACAACAACAACAGTGAAAATTTTAATATTTTGTTAGTTTGCATCCATTATTGTAACATACTGAAATGGATATGTTTTCAATAGCTATTTCTGTCAATCATTTTTTTCAGTTAATCATCCTCTTAGGCAAATGGTACTAACAAAAAGCAAATAGGATGCTAGGTATGATTTATTTATAGTATGCCAGTACTAGTAATTGATGTTTTCTGCTTTTTTTTTTCCCATCCTTCTTACCTGAAAAAAAAAAAAAAATTGTATTTTTCAATGTTGTAGTAAATAATCTCTCCATTCCAGTTCAAAAATGCATGAGAAGGAAAACGAAGGAAAAGGAAAGTAATAGTTGCATACATATTTTCCAGCTATAGTTGTATCAGTAATTAGATACCAAAGAAGCTACGACAGTGCAGGGGTTAAGGCATTTACCTGTTAACCAGAAGGTCAACAGTTTGAACCTATGGGAGAAAGATGGGGCAGTCTGTTTCCATAAAGATTTATAACCTTGGAAGCCCTATGGGGCAGTTCTCTGTCCTATAGTGTTTATGGGGCAGTTCTCTGTCCTATAGTGTCTCTAAGAGTCAGAATCAATTCAATGGCAGTGCATTTGGTTTTGGTTTGGTAATTAGACACCGTGATCTTTTCAATTACCTCATGTGAATATGAAAGCTGGACAATGAAAAGAGAAGATAGAAAAAGAGTTGATGTATTTGAATTGTGGCCTTGGTAAAGAATATCAAATAACGCTTGGACTACCAGAAGAATGAACATATCAGTCTTAGAGGAAATACAACCAAAATGTTTTTTAGAAGTGAGGATGGTGAGAGTTCCACTCACTTAATTTGGACATAAACACTAACTCACTGCCACTGAGTCGGATCCAACTCATAGTGAGCCCTCCTTGTGTTTCCAAAGCAGTATCACTATGTAAGTAGATTGCCCAATCTTCCTGCCAAGGTGTGGCTGGTGGGTTTGAACCTCCATCCTCCTGGTTAGCAGTCAAATGTGTTATGTACTATGCCACCAGAGATCCTACTTTGGACATGTCATATGCAAATTACTGGAAAATGACATCATGATGATCAGAAAAGGGTCAGTGAAAATGGAGGACATCTTCAATGATTTATTCAGTGGCCACAACAATGAATAGCATTTAGCTGTGCTATATGATATGGTTGGTCACCATGAGTCAGAGACATCTCAACAGCAATTAACAACACTGCTCTTCCCTAGCTTATTATTTTTACTATTAGTATTATGGTCTGAATATAGTCACAAATAATTTCATTTGTTTTATCCTTTTGATTACTTTACCACAATTTTTATGCCACATTATAATTATTGTTTTCTTATATAGACGTATTCTGTTTAAATACTCTACAATATTTTGATACCCTTCAAGTTTTACAGCTATACTGAATTAAATGGTTTTCATGACCTTAAATTGTAATGTATCATCTAACTTGCTGTTACTGGTGAATACCCACCTTGTAACCAACTGGAAGGTCCTGACAGTCTTGAGAACATCCACTGACTTTCTTACTCAAACATTCATTTATATGGCAGTTTCTCTCATCTGAGCCATCACCACAGTCATCATTATTGTCACAAAGGCCTCCACTGGGAATGCACTTGCCATTTTTGCACATAAAAAAGGAACTGTTGCATGACTGCTCTGGAAAAACAAAAATAAAACAAGTGAAACATGAATAGCATGCCATTGTTTTATACTTCAGTTGTTGAAATAATTCACAAATATAACTTCTCTTTCAAAAATTATAGTTAATATGTGTATACATAGAATGTTGTACATTTAGCATAATATTTTATACATAAAACACAGCAAATAATGATTTCCATCAATACTTATGGCAAATTTAGCTTTATAATAAAAATTAACAATAAAAACTTCTTTAGTAAGATTAACACAATATTTCTGTCTTAATCTGTATTGTGAAAAATGAGTTCAAAAGTGTAATGATAGTTTGACATTTCCTTAAGTCATAGGTCTCTGACAAATATGTCACTAAAAATTAAGAAGCCAGAATTGGTAGATATCCCTAATTTTTTCTTCCTGGAAATATAACATTGACATTTTTAAGTCAGGGCATAAAAAAGACATTTGTAGTGAATAATAGCTATTCCAAATATAGCTATGGAAAGGAGTTCAGGTCTTGCAGCTACTCATAACCTGATGACTTGTACATTACTCATCACCATGCTGAAAGTAAACTTATTAACATGTAAACTATATGAGAAAAAATAATTGAGTTATCATAAAATGTGTGATTATGTATTCAGTCATTGTAGAAGTGAAGTAATAAATACATCAAAGTTGAATATGTATATCTTTCTGATTAAATGATATGTAATTAATTTTATTCTGCCTAAGTATGAATAATAAGTATTTAATTACTTAGCAAGTATCAGTTTCTTTTATGTTTGGATTTCCAAATAGACTCATAGAGGAAAAATATCTTCACATAAGATTTAAAAAAAAAAAAAAGAAAAGAAAAGAAAATATTAAGGTCAACATAATTTGGTGTAGGGGTGTTTCATTAGATCATGGCCTCTAATCCTCATATTTTTGGCACAAGCTTAAATTTTTAAAGCTAGTCTCAAAACAGAGTTGAAAACCAGGATCCTGTATTATGTGACTAGAAACTTCATGTGCATAATAATTTGCATTTCGTTTTACTGAATATATACCAGATTGAAAATTAGAGTTAACAATTTTGGCATTAATTTTTTTTTTTTAAATAAACATACTATTATAAGTTTTCTATACCTGCACTTTTGCACTTTGGGTTTAAAGGTGCTTCATCAGAATGGTCAAGGCAGTCAAAGTCTCCATCACATTGCCACTGAGTATTTAAAAGACATCGCCCATCAGCACAACTAAATTCTTCTGCACCACACTGCCGGTACCCTAGAGAAAAAAAAGATATGAACGTCTGACCATTCTACATAATAAATATTCATTAAAATTTAATCTTCTTACTGGGCACTATATTCCACTAACAATAAACATTGTAGATGACCCATAGCCCTATGAAGACTGTTTATCATTTCCTTCTGTGACAGCGGTCAAACTTATAAGAGAAATTTGTAGTTGGAGACTAAGTCTTAGGTCCAGAAAATAAAGTTGGAAATAAGGTACTCTCATTGTTTCTAGGTGAGAAAGTAAGAGCTCAACACTATTGAAAATACCATCTTGGTTTACCTGTGATCTACGTCCTAGAGATTTTCCTTTGTCTGGAAAACTAAAAATAATAAAAACTAGTAGAAATTTTTTTTTTAATATTAAGCTAGGTTAGGTATAGTTCCACAATATATGGAAAACTGATTATATCTATTTCTCTGATAATTGAATTATAATGATGATTCTTAGACACTTTATTGCAATATTTTTGTGTAAAAAATGACATTTAAAGTGTAAAGATATTGTGAAAATGAGAAAACTAAAATTTAATTTATAGAACAATAAGCAAAAAATAAATGGCAATTATTCTTTACATTGAAACTTATGTAATAAAAACTATTTGAACACATTATCATTTGTTAATATACATATCTATAATCATCTGTAAGTAAAACTCATTTAACTTGGGATTTTATGACATTTTAGATTTGAATTGTTTCTAAATACATCAACAATAAAAACCATCATTTCTATTAGAAACTTTTTGGTAAGTCCATCAAATGTTTTGAGTTTGGATAAAAGAGGTACAATTTTTATAGCTTAACTTTCCTTAAACAAAATTTTGGTGAAAAAATCACCCTCCTAAACTAGTAGTATTTCCTTACTTCTTATATGCCGTCGAGTGGGACCCGACTCATAGCGACCCCTCCTTGGGTTTCCGAGGCAGTATCACTACGGAAGTAGATTGCCCCATCTTCCTTCCGAGGAGTGGCTGGTGGG